GTCCTTGTATTTTGAGAAATTTTCCCCCCTTTCAACCCCCCCCCCCTTCCCCTCCCAAAGGAAAAAAAAATTTTTTTTTTTTTTTTTTTTTTTTTTTTTTTTTTGCTATGTGGCTCCTCATTATGGATCAGTGTAATTGATTCAGTCTTCACTATTGTGTGCTCGGAATATTAAAGCGTTTCCTCTCCGAGTGGCGCGGGCAGGTGCAATTGATGTAATCAGTTTCCTGGAGGCACGAGCCAAAGACCCCGTGGCCATCCTGTGCCTCTCTGCAGTGCTGAAGAGGTAAAGTGTGCTGAGTGCTCACAAGCATGCCATAAATCAGAGCGCAGCAACAGCGCGGTGTGGGTGAGGCGAGCTGAATTAAGACACGAACAGTATTGTTTGGGCTGCATGTTGCTTCACGGATGATCTCTGATCATGTCAGCGTCTCGTGTTTGGTTACATGTCAGAAGCGCTGAATGTTTTTCCAGGCTTTGTGCGGGCAAGCCTTTGTTTTTTTGTTTGTTTGTTTTTTTATTTAATTTTCATGCATCTTTTCTTAAATGTTACTTGCCTGTGGTTTTGTCTTTCACCAAAATGCCTGCTTATGCTTTTTTTAAGCAGCCCGAGTGATAGTAAAACAGCCTTTGTCCATGTTTTGCAGCAAGCAGTGGCACTGCAATGACTAAGAGAGCCTTGTTTGTTGCTAGGTAACAAGAAGAATGAGAGTGGGCTCTTTCATAATCAGATTGATTTTTTTTTTTTTTTTAAGTAGAGATTTCTCCTGTAGTCTGAAATAAGGAGCTATTTGGGCAGGGGATTCAGACTGACATTTATCACATGAAGGAGAAATCTTTGCATTTTGATACAGATAATTTGCCTGTCAGGGTTTATTACCCGATGTGCTTATGTGCTAATGTTTTGCACATTCTTTCACAGAATACAAAACAAAATTGACTGAGATGTTGCCAAACATAAAAAAATAGAATTTAAACTTCCTTATACTAAATACTGCTTTAGTATGGATTTTTTTTTTTTTAAATTTTTAGATGTTTAAACCCCAAACCGTATTCTGCTGCAGTGTACTGTAAATGCCAGGCTCCCACCCTCTCTATCAGACATAAGGTCATTGCAACCTGCTACAGTACAGGAGAGCTGCACCAACACTCCCCCACCCCGATCCCTTCTCACATACACATGCACTCTCTGCTCAAGGCCGGTCTATTTATCCAGTCCTCTGAGAGCTTGACTGAAGCACAAAGGAATCACAACAAAGAGCCTGACAGAATGAAGATCCAGCCGCCCTACAGAGACGACAAGAGCAGCACTCTGAAAAGACGCACAGTTTGCTGTGGAAAGACACCTCGCCGAAAGCTGCTGCTGCTGCTGCTACGAGAAAACAGCAGCTATAAGAAGTGACGTGAGGAGTTCGGTGAAGTGAGCCTCTCACTCACCCCAGCCAAGACACAGGAAACGCTTCCGGATGAGCCTGGTGCGAACCTTCCCTGTCACCGCCATGTAGGACTGCCAGGCTTCCGTAAGGACCCAGCAGAAGGACGCTAGGAAGAAGAAGTGCAGGAAGGCAGTTGTCATGATGCACACACCCTGTTGATAGAAGAAAAAACAAAAAACAAAAAAACAAGCGTCACAGAGATTTCTTTTAATAAGTGTGGGTTACTTTTAATCCACTGCGCACACTTCTATGCATCTCTAATGCCGCTGAAACACAAGATATTTGGTAGCTCTCAGATTTGTAAATATTCCTGTAAACCGAGAAACTCCCTGCAGATACACAGCAGTTACATTAATGCTCCTTTATTTCTTGGAAGTGCTCTTTGATGAGCATGTGCAGTCATGTAGTAGATGTTGATTATGGCTCGCAGCTAATCAAAACCCAGAATTCAGTTTTTTTTTTTTTTTATTCTATGGTCACACGGATGCATCGAAAAAAACAAAACACCAAAAAAAAAAAAAAAAAAAGTTACTCAACAAATAACCGCGTAGTTTACAGCAAATAGACTACATGCTTGGCTTGGGCTCCTTTTGCATGAATTACTGCATCTGTGCTGCATTGCATATAGGTGGCCAGCATGTGTTACATGAAGGAGAAAACTGAGCCCAGCTTGGTTTATCAGCATTTTTCAGCTTTGTTGTATTATTTGGTCTGCTGTCTCTCGTGTTACTCTGAACAATATTCGACATTTTCCAGTTGGGGGTTTAGGTCAGAGAGCTTGATGGTCAGGCAAGCACATATATACCCATGGCCATTAAAGCAGGTGTGGGTACTGTTGGCAGTGTCAGCAGGTGCCAAAACCTGCTGGAAAATGAGTCAGCATCACCAGCAAGCATGTCATCATACTTGCTGGTGAAGGCATGAAGCGCTCTCGGATTTACTGGTGGACATCTGGGCTGACGTTGGACTTGAGAGAGCACAGAGGACCAACACCAGTAATTGACATGGCTCCCCAAATCATCACTGGCTGTGGAAACCTAAAACTGGATTTCAAACGACCTGGATTGTAGACTCAGACTCAACTGTTTATTTAGAAATGATGCATGCAGTTTGTAAATATCTGTAGGTTTTAGGATTCTCTTGCTTTTCCACAAACATTTCCATTTTGTCTTCATTTTTGTTTATAAAACAATGACATATTGAGATTTTGCTCTTTGGTTTTATGTGCACTTGAGCTAAATTTAAACAAATTCACAACCTACTAGACACTACATTATTTATACATTAAAACAGTGAATTACTTTCGTACTATTTTTTTTTTTAAACATTTTGTGCAAAGAATGAAACATGGCATCGGTTTGAACTGCAAACATCAGAGGTGCTGAAGGTAGTTCAGCTCAAGTCCCAGCCAGACAAGCTGACACAGAAAGCGATGGCGTAGCATTCCTCTGCACTAACCCTCATTAGTATGCTGGGGATCCCACCTGGAGGCATGTGAGCCAAGGTCAAGTGTTTTACACAGACAGGAGGAGGGGGGGGGGGGAAGCTACAACACTGCTTAAAAAGAAACAGAGCGCATATGTGGTATTTCAAGGCTTGACAACACGACATCATTTTTTCCATCTTTGCTCCACATGATTGTAAGAGAGTATTTTAGAAATCGTGTCTATTATACTTTTTTGAGTATAACAGGCGTTTATGGGGGCAAAGAAATGGAATCCTATTACTTTACCAAAAGAGCTAAGAAGCACATTCACATTCCAGACGGTCCACACCAAAATGTGAGATCTACCATAAAGTTTACATTCCTAAGGCGGAAGCCGTCCTAAATCCACGAATCCCCTGCAGTGATCAAAGGGTTCACACAAGTCAATAACCCAGAGTTAGTTCATTCCTGGGAACGATATTCTCAAGAGATATTACTAACCTGCACACTGATGTTAATATAGACAAACACTTAAATAGATGCATGTATTAAATTTGAAGACTTCAACTTAAATCTTACAGAGTACCAGAACTCGGATGTGCTGTGAATTTTAAAACTATCCAAACGTCTTGATTTTACTCCTACCTATGGCAAGTGAGTAACTGCAATAAAAGTGTAAGGAAAAGTTTACAAATCATTTTTACAATGTTTTATATAAAAAAAAAGAATCTAAAAAGTGTGGCGCCCGTCTGTTTGAAGTCCTCTTTATTACTTTGATAACCCCAAAATAAAACAACTGCTTTCAATTGACTGTAAGTTTTTGGTGGGGAATAAAAGTTGTTCATCTTAAATTTTACAGTTATGCACTATTTCGTGTTGGTTAATCAAATAAAATCCCCCCAAATACATTAAAAGTTTGCGGTTATAATATTACAAAATTATACACAATAATACTAACCATTTTAAGAGGAATGAAAGATAACTTGCAAAATTACATTTTGTCTATGTGAATTTACAAATTACTCTAAATCATAATGGTATAAATATCAACTCACACCTTAATAATGTCTCTAAAATATTATCAAATATTTAAGGACATGTAAGTTCTGAGGCAATTACAAGAGTTTTTTTTTTTTTTTCTGTTTTATAAATATTTTAAAACAACAGATTTCATCATGCTTTTGCATAGCAAAATTCCTAACTATAGACACTACATATTGTTTAATAAGCTGGAAGTAACAAATAGCCTTTAACTGCAGTGGGGAATGCTAAGCAAACATCAATCATGTCCAGGATGGACAACCTGGCTCAGTGTGATGTCAAATTTATGTTCTGATTTTAAGGTATCAAACAAAAGCGAAACCATGTTAGTTTGGTCCCCGTTCTGCCTCTCAGACTTTCCCCGAAAGCTAGCTGTGATGTGGCTGCTGCTCGTGTGCTGTCCATGGTGCTGAAAATAGAGCCTGCCTTGTTACTTGGAAACAGGTCATTTGCAACTGTTATGTTTCACGGTTCACTTGGATGCCTATGCTATCCAGCCTCATTATTCTAGAACAGTAAAACAGTTTTGTTTTGTTTTTTTTAGAAGGGAGAGAAAGATACAACATGGCCACATTGTGGTCGCACAGATTTGGTACAGACAGTCATACCAAAAAAGATATATAAACCGATAGTTCACTTTGCCCTTTTGAAAGGCAAATGCTGGGAGATGTTGAGCACACTGTGTCGGTATCCATGGAAACAAAGGCACAGAGGAAGAGCCCATATTAAAACGTGGCAGGGCTGATAGACACAGAGGTGAGGGGAGGCAGTGACGGGGTGTCTTCAGGCCAGCTCGGTAATGGCAGTTTTAGATGAGGGGAGAAAATGTGAGGAATTTCTTTTTCTGTGGCCTCAATAAACTCCAAAGGTTCAGCTAGGACCTTTCAGTCTTTATCCGCTCCCAGATATTAAGAACTGAAACTATATTGTCAAGCGAAAAAAAAAAAACAAACAAAAAAAAACAGCAGTGATGGATTACAGTAGCAATATGGACAGAGAGCAGGCAGTTCCTATGACACACAAATGTAAAATGTGTAGTTAATTGAAATCATATCGTTGGATACTGCTAGTTAAAAGCACTCAATGGATGCCAACTATACTTCCAAAGGAGACTTCTGTCCACAGTTTAGGTTTGTTAACACAAATATTGGTGTGTACTAGTCAAGACATCTTGAAATCTTGAATAATTATCAAAATTTCATCCAACAATGGAAAGAGTACAGCTGAGAAGACATTGAGGACCAACTTAACTGAAAACCCCACCAGGGAGATGACTAACCGGAGCCATTTCTGAGCCATGTTTTAATAGTTCTATTTGTAAAACCTTTGAAAGTCATGTGTCATTTTCATTCCAGTTCACATTTTCGTTATTTGCTACAGTGTGTTGGCCCATTACAAAGAATCATAAAGGTTCAATTTTTATGAATAATGGCATATTCATACACTTTCTTAATATGAATGCAACCTATTTAACAATGTTTAACCACTCATTGCTTGAGATAGGCACTTGAGGACTTATATATCACTGATAAAAGCGTCAAACTTAACAGTTTGTGAAAAGCAGGATATTTAAAATGCATGGCATCAAGGCATACTAGATCTGAAACACACCTGTGGAAAGTCTGGAAGAGACTTTATTTAAAATGCTTTATAACTATGAAAAAAAAAAAAAACCTCATGTGACTTTCTAATTCCAATTCCAATTTGGTCTGACTCAGTGTAGGTGGAAGAGGCTGGTTGTTATTTTGGCTGAAGCACCCTCCCTTGTTGCTTTAAAGAATAGCTGTTTGGGTGGTAAACTTTTTCAAGTGCAGCTAACAAAAGGGTAGCGCTGGTGGAAAAGTGTAAACAATGCTCACAAATATTTAAAAAAATATATTATTTAGCATTACTACTTCTGCTGATCATGAATCAACTTCTTCATTCTTCATAAATAGATTTAATCACTCGTTTAAGTATGGCCAGAAGATTTCTGTTATGTAACTATTAGGGCAATTTGAGCAGACTAAAATTTATGGAATTATAAATTAAATACTCTTAACCTGAAGCAAAAAAGAAAAAGAAAAAAAAACAAGTATACTGTATGTAGATTATCATTTATTATGGTTAAGGTAAGAAAATATGATTATTTGCTTTTTTTTAAATCTTATGTAAAACACTGTAAATATAATGCATTTTACCATCTTGCCCGCAATCATCAGATAATGCAGGATTATATCCTTATAAACATATCTGTTCAACATTTTTAAAACTGATGAAACCTTTAGTTTGGCAACTCAAATCTTCAATAAGATATTTGGACTAAATCATAATTTGCCACATTCACGCAAAGTAAGAATTTCTCAGTGTGTCAATTTATGAAGATAAGCTTCTCTTATCTTGTTCTTACTGGACTTTCGATGCCTGTGTGTATATGCCCATTAGAGTATTCAGCTTTATGCAATCATCCTAATGCTGCCGGCTTGTTAAATCTGCTTCTTTCTGCTTCCTTCCCTTCCATAAAGCCAGATGAAGAGGGACGGCAGACAGCAGGACAGCGTGGAGACACACACACAGGTGACTCACTGACTTCCTGCTCCCAGTGGACACCTCCACAGAGAAGAGATGATTTCTATTAGATGACGAGCAACTCTGAATCCACAAACAGAGGAGCCAATTATATGGACTTCTTACAGGCGATGGAGGAAAAACAAGTGAGGCAGTGTCAGGCACCGTGGCAATTAAACCCACACAGGGACTGTGTTTTCTCCTCTTGGTGGCCCACCACTCAAACATGGGGCTCGACTGTACATCTGATCAAACAGATGAAATATTTTTCAAATATTTTTCCCCCCGCAGATTTTCAACTTGGAGCAAAGGTGGAAATGCTGATAATTTCAATGCCCTGGAAGTTGTTTTTTTTTTTTTTGCAACAGCACAAATGTGACTGAATGCATCTACCATATTGTGCTCTTTTTCAACTTGAACTGGATCGTTTGGCTTCTAGCAACCATTAGAATTCAAAATTTCACAAGTCAGCTAAAGGACACGCTGCCACAAAAAATGTACATAAGATGAAAACTAGGAAATCCGTTTGTATTTGTTCACATCTGGAACACAACATCCTCAAGGTGCAACGTGGTAGTCACAGTATAATGCTATGGGGATGATTGACTTCACCAAGGATGGAAATAAATACAAAACAATATAGGAAGAAAGGACGTTTAAGGCTCCAAAAGAGCCACAAACATGTAGTAAGGCTTAAAAAAAAGCCATTTTCACACTCTTTTCCAGACTTTAAAACTAATTGAGTTTAAGCTTTTTTTCCCCCAGAGAAACATGAACACAAATCCTTTTTTGCAAAGACAATCACTTATCTCTTTGATATTTCATTGTTATTTTACTTATTGCTAATGCAAAAATGTTGAAGGTCGGCCCATTACAAATCACTTGAATTGAATCAAAGTGCCAAAGATCCTTATGGAGTCTATCTAAACCACTTCAAAGTGACATCTTAAGTACGACAGTGGATTTTCTGAAAAGTGTGTCATCTCTTCGATTTTATAGACAGACATCCTGTTAGAGGCCTGCAGAGTGAGTGTTCCATGTTAAGCAATGTTTCTCATAATCAACAAAAGGTGGATGAATAGAGGCCTGATTAAACCTGACAAGGCTTCAAATCAGTTCAGCTTTATATAAAATATCCTAAGGCATTGTACATTCATGGAATAAGCTACTACTGTTTGTCAGCTATGCAAGGGCCAGTGAACAAGCAGATGAGCTCATGCAGTTTCTGATATTTTCCGACATTAAAATGATTGGCATGAAATGAATCAGTTTTGTTTCAAGTAACTGCTTATGTGAACTGTGTCACATTTAATGCGCAGCGTTTCAAGAAAATAAACAAGTTTGATTAATCGTAGGATTTTTATGTTAACTTCTTATTTCAAATCATCTATTTATCATCCAATCAGGATTATGGTTCATAGTAAGTGGTGCATGGGCACATGGATTTAACAAACACATTTGGATCCAAAGGAGTCACATAATATATCAAATCCTAACCATTACATTTTCAATCTTTCCCATATTGAAGATGGAATGCAGCAGGGAAAGCGACCATCATTTAAGTGCAGTGCATTTATGTTCTGCATTGATGCAGATTGTTGTGGCTGACATGTTAAAGCTCGCTCAGAGTTGTATAGTCATCGTGATGGTGGAAAAGGAGAAGAGTATGGAGGGAAATGTGTTTTAATCACAACTGAAACCATCATTGTAGTACAAGTAAAATTGCACTGCATCCTTAGTAAGAATACATGTAGCTATGTGACATTTTAAGCTCTAACTAAAATGTGTGTAACATGCTTAAAATCTAAACTGACTGCACTGTAGCAAAATCCAAGTGATGAAAAGTTTACCCTGCTAATGAAGCAGCAGACTAATAGACCCTCGATCCATGCAGAGAAAGTGGAAAATGATAAGTTTCAGAATTAAAAAAAGGCCTTTTGCAAAAGGTACAAAGACACTGAGAAAACTGTTATACAATAAAATGCCAGTAGTTGGACAATGCATCTTTCTGTAGAGCTGCCAGATGACTGAGAAGGGCATCTGTGTGGGCAGTTTGTGAATTCAAACTAATTTTTTCTCCCCAAGCAATCTTTTACATCAGCCACTTGTTTACTGCCTGGTTACGACAACAGAGAAAGAAAGTGAGATATTTTAGTGGAAGAAGCCTTCCACTTAAAGTTCTCCGGTTTTCTACCTAAAACCTACGGTGGTTCAAGCTGTAGTTACTGGTATGCCTGATGGCATGGTTCTCTTTCTGTACTGCCTATAAAACATATGCTGCAGAACCTCTATCTGCTCATTTAAATAGTTTTAGACTGATCCTGAAATGTGAATCCTGGTGTGTGCAAGGCCTGATTGCAATAAAACCAGATTCAGAGTCATTCAACAGTCCCTAATGTCCATAATTGTACTCTTCTTTATGGGTTCTCAGTTTTAATTGCCTTTAAATCACCTCTTTCAATAACACATTGGACTAATAAAGTTTACCAGAGGGAAATAGTTGTAAGCCAATAACAGTCTTGTCAAGGCTTTAGAACACTTCCGTTTTTTGTTGTCATTATAGGAAAATACTTCCATGAACAAAAAGCAATTTTGTAAAAATGTTTTTTCTCCTAATCTGACAAAGCACATTCAAAAGCAGCTATTGAATAAAAACAGTGAATGAATCTGACACTTTCAAAGTGACAGAGAACTGCTAAGCACCAAGAAAAAAGCTTTAATACATGGTAAAAGAAAATAGTTTCATAACCATCTAGTGTTAGTGATGTACTTGATTTTTTTTTTTAAACGTCTTTATTTGCCTTTGGAAATAAGTAATGCCATGTCAGAATCTGTGATGCGTGGTTTTGCCCACTTGAGTTTAGATTTAAATCATTTCAGAGCATGAAGAAGGCTTCATTGGTTAACGCCACACGTTCTCATCATGCAGCTCCAGAGCCACATGTAGCTGTTTAGGACCTCTGCTTTGAATCTTATCTAAAGAGCAAAAACTGTATTGAAAGGAACAATGTTTTCAATCATAAAGGCAATGGAAAAAAAGTGGGTTTAACAGTTTTTCGGGTTAGTTTTATGCAATTCCTGCATGGATGTTTTTTCTTTAGAAAAAGATCAATAGTACAATTTTTTTTTTCAGTCACTTTATGGTATTCACCTCCAAACTATTAATTTATATTATCAAGTAGGGTAAATGTTTTATTTTATTTCATATAAATATGAGAAGAATTTACAATAGTAGCATAAGTCTAAAAAAGCAAGATTTGCTAAAATCTAGAATAAAAATAAATTGTATTTCTCAAAGGATTCTGTCTTTTTTTGTTTGTTTGTTTTAGCCAAATTTTAAAGTTGCAAAGGCAAAAATGGCTTTTAGGACTGAAAAGACTGGCGACACCTAGAATATACTTTATAACCATACAATTGAGGAAGTGTGCAGTTTTGTTAACCATGACTGTAAAAGCGGAGATTCACAGCAAAACATGTCTGTAAACACTTTCCAAACTGTCCCTGCTGTATCTGTACGTGAGACTTACCACATTGTGGGTTTGTGTTTGTCCAACAAGGATTAGTATGTTCGAGCAGACTATAGATAGGCAGAAGTTCAGCAGGATAATGGATCGTTCAGATCGAATATATCTAAAAGAAAAAATACAAGAGAAAAAAAAAACAGCTATTCTTGAGCACTTTTCAACTGTATGTTTTACTCATAGAACGTGAAATGTAGAAATACCACATCAAATATGTCACAAGAACTTAAATGCATGATATGACTAAAGCATATGTCTTTGGAGTGGTTAATTTACCTCCATAAGATGGCATAGATGACTGCCAGTGTGATCAAGGCGAGGCAAGACAAACCACAGCCAACTATCAGTGTCACAGATGGGACCCCTGAGTACTCCATAGTCTGTTGAGAAGACAGAGACAAACCAGTTGGTGAGAGGGTGTACGCGTGGTTCATGCAGGACAGTAAATCTTTATTATCGCCTGAAGTAGAGAAGCAATCAAAACAAGCACCAATCTGAAACCCAATCCACAGAGGGCCCCTTAATTAACTGGGAGGTTTGAGGTGTACGTGTGGGCTTTGGATGCATAGCACACAAAAAAAAGGGTTTCTGTTTCAGAGTAGATAGATGTTAAATAAAATAAAAAAAACAACAACAAAAAAAAAAAACAATAAAAACCCATTGAGTGGAAAAACAGTATTATTGTTTAATTCTGCAGGTCTGCATCTCAAATTTAGGGAACTGGAACCCAAACAGACAAATGTATAACAACACATAAACACATACATTCATATTTAAACTTATACACATACATATATCAACATATATCATAGATTTGCACACTGGAGAACCTTCCACACCCTCTGTACAAGGTGTTGACCAATCAGGGGCTTGTGGACTAATCACAACCTACAGCTATATA